CGCGATGAAAAAGGAATCGATAAGATTCCCGTTGTTAAATATAAAAATACACTTTTATACTTTTTTCTATTTATTGTATAAACGATTAAGACTTGAAGAAAATTAGAACGGTATTTGTTGTACGGCAAAGAACTGAGCCGAGAAGACGCGACATCTCGCGCAACTGTGTGCCATTGTGCTATCGCAGATCACCCGGTGGTCGTATCGGCGACACACTTCGGCGGGCGCGTGACGAGTACATTATCGCGGTCTGTTGGTATTGTTTGACTTAACTAGATGAACGCGCCAATGTACGGGGGCATGTGTCGTCATACGACAAAACCGATTCAAAATGCTCCGAAAATCATAATAACTCAAGTAGGAGTGATTTTTTTTACAGAAAATAAATTAATTAAAAGGAATCGTATATATGCCGATAGAAATTTATTTTATAAAATTAAATTTCCAGTTTTTGAGAAATTAAAGATTGACTCCTTTTATATACATAATATTGATTAACATTAATACGTTGAATAACATTATATATATTGATTATTGATTAATTAGTTAAAAAACTCTTTTATCTCTTTCTACAATGACTTGAATATTGATTAAAAATTATTTAGATGATTTATTTAATAGCTAAATTAGTTAAATTATTTAATTGATGTCCAGTCAATTTAATTTTCTAATAACGCTGTTGCATTATCAAATTTTAACATTGTAAATTTCGTAGAATACTCCTGCTGGTAATATTTACGTCCTACGTTGGTAGGACGTAATTAAGATCTAAATATAGAATATTTTAAAATTATTTCCAAAGTCAGAGAGGCTTCAGAGATTCAATAACCTGACGGAATAGGGCTTTCTATCAATCCCATTTTTATTTGTTTATTTCGTTGCAGGCTGCGGAAGGAGTGTCTCGTTAGGGAACCGTGCAGCCTACGCGGTCTAAAGAAGAATCGCAGAAACACGCGTGAGTCGAGAGGCATAGAGCGCGGAAAAATTCTATGAACTTGCGGTCGTCCGGAATACAGTGGCCCCGCGGTAATGAATGTGGGAGTTTCACACGGGTCAACGGATCGCTGCCTTTCCTAGAGATACGTGCGAGGTGCACTTGGAGTGCACTCTCTTTCTCGCTCTCTCTCTCTCTCGCTCTCTCTCTCTCTCACTCTTTCCTTCCCATCCTCCTTTTCTCATTCTCTCTCTCTCTCTTTCTCCTTCTCTTTCTCTCTCCTACTAGCGAGTCAAAGTGTATCCTAACGTATGTGCCCGTAATCAACTGCTTGATAACTTATGCATTCCGAAAGGGCGATACTATCTATCTAGCGCTGCCGTAAATAAGATATACAAACTGGATGCGGCGCATATAAATTCGCGAGCGCATCGTATAAGTGCGCGCGGTCCTCCCGGCCGCGGTCGCGGTGTGCCCGCGAAAGGCCCGCTAAATTGCGCGTCGGAAACTTTCCTCGCGCGATCTGGATTCGTTAATTCATCCGGTGCAGGCGATCTAACCGTAAGGAGACATTCTCTACCGCTCATACTTACACGGTTCGCGTACGTTCAATGCACCAAAGAAATTACTGCATTATAATCGCGTATGTGTGCGATATCTCATCGCGTATCGGTCTGAAAATGCCACCTGTCATAAATCTAACATATTCGAATGAATTCTCTTAATTGTGCGTAACGAATCGCTTCTGAAAACTATTCGTTGCAGAGTCATCCGGTGGAGAGATCTCAGCGGAAAACGAGAAAAGATAATAGATTCAAATAAGCGCTAATCCGCAACGTTTATGCAAGCGTCGTAAAGAACGCGGATTAATCTTCGAAACACTTCGCCGGGTTTAAACTTACGCTGTTGATTCGCGTGCCGTGCATTCATTACTCTTCATTGTGAAATCTCGCAGGTTTTTTTGCGCTATATACGGTTCGGCAATCGCAATAGTAATAACCAGTTCTCCAGAACGCCGAGATCAGATCGATTAGGTGCAATCACGATGCCGCCGCATCGACCATGTTGCTCGATGAACGGAAAAAATTGTACTCTGATTCTTAGCTCGGAGGAATCTCTGACCTCTTTTCGTTTAAAGAAAGACTGTAAGAATATTTCATCAAATTATTCATCAAAAATTATAAAACCAAAACGTAAATTTATTCTGCAGTTAGCTTTCTAAAATTGAAGCGTCACTATTTTTTCATAACTTCTCTTATTTTTTCTTTTCTCGAGAAAATTGTAATATATATTTTCATGTTATATTTATCGGTAAATAATTAAGAAAGTTTGGCGTCAAATTCAGAATTCATCAGGTTAATCGAAAAATAGATTGAATCCTCGCTCTTTCGAAATCTTTCTCGCCCTTTCCCAGATTGGCTGGTCGAGATACGTGAACGGGCCCCACGAAACACTGTCCAGGAGGCCCCGAAATGCTTAGGGCCAGCACTAGATAATTTTTTGGGGATTGTTAAAAGTCACTTCAGAGACGCCTCCGCTGAGAAACAGACCGAGGACAGGCTGCGTCTGTGGCCTGGGAAGCATTTTCGGCGCCCCTTCTCTCTGCCCCTGCCCCTCTTCGCCAGTCGACTCGAGGAAAGTAGAAAAGAGATCGTCCTCCTCACCCGGCGGAAAATTAAAGGGCGCATCTTATCGCGTGGTCCGTCACCACGGACCAGAAATGAGAGAGAGAGAGAAAGAATGGGGGCGGGGGGAGGGAGACGCGACGTCGTGTATACGTAATACGTGAGATACGAATGCGCGTACGTATGGCGTGTAAGCTGTACACGCTTCCTTTGAAACTTCGAACTTCCTATCGCGACCACCGTGTCTCTTTGTAGACGGATGAACGTCTCGTATCCAGGATAATGCGAGGTTCTTCGCCACGTTCGCGTCTCTTTCCATTCTGCCTCTTCTCCCTCTCCCCCCCCCTCCCACTCTCTTCTTTTCTCCGCTCTCTCCTACCTCAGTTCCGCGTCTTATCCCGCTCGCCTGGTCGCAGGATCGAGATCCTCCGGCGAGTAATCCCGACAGAAGGAAAGATTCCGCGTCGCGGATATCGATCCCGCAAGTAGAATGAGGGGTTTTAGTCGCGGAATAATTAATGTGAGAGAGCAGGTACTTCTGTGTGCTCCTCTCCGCTTTCTCTGTGATTCGACGCCGTGTGTTTACGGCGAGGGACAACGAGCGTGCATCGCGCTGCTGGTACGATCGGTTCGTAAATCTGACTGGCGACCCATGCATTTAGCACCATCGCGTCACTCGATGCTTGAGAATACCGTTTTTTTTCCTTCATTCAGTGCACAGTTTTGTAATGAAGCGTAATAATACAAGAATTGAACCAATTTCGAACATTACAGTAAAACATCTAAAATTATTATATATATTTAAATCTGGATTTTTATCTTGTTTAGTTTTTCTATTTTGTGTCACATAAATATAGGAAATATACATATATATATATATATTTTTTTTTATATTTTAATTAAATCAAAAGATTACTTAACATCTCCTATTATACCAAATGTTATATGTTGTAACAATATTTATAATTAAGTTTTCAAATCAATGATATTGAAATAAATTTTTTTACTGTACGGACACTTCTATCTTTCGCGCTTTGATAAGGTATAGTTGGACCTGCAACTTCGAAAAAGTCTTCTCTCTGTAGTTAGTAAAAGTAACTTGAAGCAATTTGTCACGCGCGCCGGAATTCTGCTACAGAAACTCATCGCGGGTAACGAGTGCGGCAACGATCAGCAACGAAAACTTGGCACCGCTCCAAGCAACATTAATACGTTTGGGTATTACTGCGGGAACTTAAATGTCTGATCAGCATTAATCGTGTTGAGACTATGAAGGCTGCGCTCTTATCGTATTTCCAAACAATTTTTTTCATTTGCGTCCATAAATACCTATACTCTCTAAAAGTGAATCAGTGGAATCATCATTGATTTCAGTTCTCGATTCTGTTTGACAGTGAAATTCACTGTCTTTCAGTGATATTCGTTGTTTGAATCAGTATGTTATCACTGAAACGATATTGAATATTGTAAGAACACTGAAAATCAGTGATGATTTCACTGTTTCACTTTTAGAATACATATATAGAATAATCGACAAGAAAATGAATTACATGAGTACAAATAATAATGTAATTGTCAAATTTATAAGTAGTTTTATGGAAATGTTAATCGCAACTTTGTTAACCAAGGATTTATTTAGCATTGACAAGAGATAGGATTCCTAGAATAAAATTAAATTATCAAATATTACCGTCATATCGAAAGCAGATAAAATAAATATAAAATTCGATAAAATTATTGGTTTAACATAACGTTTCGCACTTGTTTCTCGAGCCCGCTGTTATACAACGCGGATTTTTTCGTGCAATTAAAATGGATACAGAACCGTTGCGTCCGTTGGAACGTGCCGGAAAAATCTCGCATCCGTCGCGTTCGCGCCACGACGCGAAGGAAGGGTTGCGTTTTGGAAAAAGCGCGCCTTACCCCTACTACCAGGCCGCGTTAGAGATACTCGCGGGAGAGAAGACACGATCTCCCTCTTCGCGGTTATCTCCCGCGCGACAAGGACGACGTACGCCGACGCCGGTGTCAGCGAGCGAGAGGAGAGACGGAGAGAGAGAGGAGCGGATCTGGATGGCCGGCGATAAACGAGGAGAGACCGAGGCGCGCGCGGGCGTGTGTACGTGGATCCATGTAGGTGTACGCGGCTACAATGACGACGGGCTCGCGAGTGGAAGGGAGAGAGAGAGCGAAAGCGAGGGAGAAGAACCGGGGAGAGGTGCAGAAAGGGAGCGCGGAGACGTAGGGAGGGGGAGAGAGAGCGAGAGACCGGGAGAAAGAGAGAGGTAGCGTTACTCCCCACCACGGGGGGTGAAAACTACCCCGAGAGCGCGTGGGGTGTCCGGCCTCGGCGCCGAGGCGAACCGAGCGCGTCCGAAGCGAGCGCAGTGCCCGACACACACCAGGTCCCGTACGGCACACGACTAGAGGCGCGCACAGTCCGGCACAGTCCACTCGGCGATACGACCCATGCTGGACCGTCGTCGCTCTGGTCCACGCCGGCATCAGGCATCCAGCACCCGCGCCGTCGCCACCAGGCCGCCGCACCAGACAGCCGCACCAGCCCGCCGAGGCCACACGTCAACGAGGACGCGGTATCGTCGCACGTCGACGTCGCGTCACCGTGATCGCGCGTGGTCCAGGGACCGCGGGTGCGCCACGCCGACTGCCGGCAATTAGAAATAGAAAAAAAAAACAAAACGAGGCTTACAGAGAGAAGAGAGAAAGAAAGAGAGAGAGAGAGAGGACGTTGAAGGATCTGAGGACGACCGCCGGACGACGACCGTCTGGGAACTCCGGTTCATCGAACTCGCGCGAAACATCGCGCCGCGACTACGGCGGGACACTCGCGGCGCGACGCTTTTGGACTTGTTTATATTTTCCTTTCGTTTTTTTTTTCTTTCTATTTAATTCGCTACCGCATATCGAGGCGAGGTTCGGAGGTGACAGCAGTGAGCGGACGATCAACGTGAAGAAGCAATATTGGCAATCGGATATCGTGAATTCGCCTGTGCGGGGAATCGACTGTGACTGTGAACTCTGTTGACTACTTGACGACGAGCAGCGCATTCGTTTGCGACCTATAAAGTGCCTGCAGTCGTGCCGCGTGTTGGCGCAACGTCGGCTTCGCAGGTGTCGCAGGGAAATTGACCAGCGGCGAATCGACGCACAGAACTGTCAATCGCGAAGGTGCCGCCGTTCCCGCCGGACGGGCACGTAAACGTCATCCCGCACCTGTGCACGCTGATCGTTCCGGTCAGTTAGTCACTCGGTCAGCGCCTGGTATCGACACTACCATTCGCAGAGTCGCGGTGTCACATATTTTATGTCGCGTGTATATCTCGCGGTGGTGAACGCGGTGCAGTCGCGAAGGGATGCGGCCAATGAGGAACATGAGGACCGACATTAGTTGACGAAGAAGTGCCCAGGTTGCGGTGCCCAGGTGCGCGAGACGACGTATCGGATAATCGCGTCCGTTAAAGAGAGTCGCGCGAGTCGCGGTAGAAAGAACTGGACACACAGCGTGTCCCTAAAAAAAAAGAGGGAAGAACGTGAGGACAGTGTCTGGAGTTATCCCGGGAAAAATCGGATGGACCCTCTCGCGGAGGGCGAGAACACGCGGCGGAGGTGAGAGGGAGGAGGGCGGAAGCGTGACGACGGCCGAGATCGGGATCGGGTCCCTTGTTGTCCTGTTGGTTCTGCCACCGACGTGCGCTTGTCGCTTCCTCCTTCCTCATCTCGTCCCCGCGGATGTGATTCAGGAGACCGGAAAGTAACACAACTGGCCCCTCGGTCCCGTCGACAACAACAGCAACTGCAAACCCCTTTCCGTCCTGGACTCCCGGAGCTGAGGCCCGTTTTTCAAGAAACAGTGTTACGTGACGAGAGTCGAAGATCGCGAACGCCACCATGAGGATCAAAATGCCCGCGGTCAGGATCGCGCAAGGTGAGTGACAACAACAACAACAAAAATCACATTTCCACTAAATGTCATGCTCGCCCATTGACCCGTCTCTCTTTCGGTGTTTTCATACCCATGTAATTTTTGGCAAGATAGAACACTAAAAGATGACAACACGTTCGATATCATCTTATGCCACTTTGCGAATCACTTCAGATTTAATTGACACGGAAGCGACATGCCCGTGGCGACTGACGCCGCGGCGGTGCGAAAACACGCGATTAGGCACACGCTGAATGCGTGATATTTGTCACGTTTGCGAAGACAATGCGCTCAAAATCATGTAGCGTATTTACGAGCGTATATTTATTGTGCCACGCGATTGAATGAAGCAACGAAACAACAGAGTTATTACAATCGTTACTAAAAGTTCCTAAAAGCCACTAAACTTTACGATTTCTTTACCTTTTAAACTGTTGTGGCGCGATTAGATTAGATTTAATAGTTCTCGTTATTGTGATTAGATTAAATTTGATAATGAAATTCTGTTACTTTCTCTCGGTCCGATTGATTCCGACATAAAATAATACTGAATCTTTTCGATAATTATAACGTAATTGTATTATCGATAGATGTTTATAAGAAAAATAAATAGCCAGGTTAATTTCATTAACGTTAGTCAAATATATGTATAATTTAACTATTAGTTTACGTCTCCGAGTTTACGAATCAAAATTAGAAAGAAACTAGAAACCAAATGAAATAATGAAAGAATGCAGCATGACTATATTTATCGAAAAAGAAAACAATATCCCTTTCATGAAAAACACGAGAATGTACTTTCAAATTCCTATTAATCGTACGAGTATCCAAAACACAAATATTTGTAACATAAAACGTATTACGTCTTGTATCAAAAAGATTTCTTTCAACAAAAGTTTAACAAACAAATATATACACTTCTCATAAGTTGATATTTTTTATTCTGTTTTATACTTAATATTTACATGCTAAATTTTCATGTAAATATTAGAAAAAAACTAGTAAAATAAAGTTTTTTTTTGTTTAAATTGCAAGATATTTTATATATCAAGATATATATATATTATACATTCCTCGTAGAAATTGTTAATATCAATTTTTCATATCAATGTATAATGTAAAGACATCGTTAATCAGAAGCATAATTACCTGCGGATCTAATCGACGTAACTCGATTTTAAGCTTTCTTTGCAAGCAGATCAAAAGCAATCTCTCTCTCTTAGTTGTTAACCGCCGCTCGACAAATCCGTGCCATTTGTAACGAGAAACTCTCGGCTCTCATCGGCGATCCGCAAATCCTTCCACGGCGATCCGTGATCGGATCGTCGTAAATCGTTTTCAATCGAGTCACGCACAAGTCCGGCACGTCCTACTTCGATCCTAATCATTTTATGATCACGTCTCAATTCATCGGCATTATGCGTCGCCGGTGCGCTCTGCATCAGCAGTAAGAACAAAGCGATGTGGAACGGCGAATTTTAAAATCGGATCCCCTTGCGATTAATTTCTTGGCAAGCGATGCCTTCTGGGGAAAAAGAATTGAATGCGGCAGTCATAATACAAGTCTTTCGCATCGAGTCGGTATCCCGGTCGCGATCTGGTAATTAACTCCGTTTCCTTGGAAAAAGCACCCGCGTCGCGATGAAGAGGGCAACCTGTCGATGAGGTAAGCGCGCGGCCGTTCCTCGTGGCGTGGTGCAACAAAAAAAAAGTGAAAAGAATCGGCGGTCGCGTGACCGAGGACGGAGGGAAGATAAAAAAGCTACGAAAAGCGCGAGAAAGTTAAGTACGAGAGAGAAAAAGGGAGAGGACAGGGGAGGGCGAGAGAGAGAGAGAGAAAGAGAGAGAAGGATGAGGTAGTACAAGGAGAAAGAGAAAGTGTGTGTGTGAGTGAATGAACTAGGGGGAGAAGAAGAGGTCGAACGAGAGCGAAAGAGGGAAAAGAGGGATGGAAGGCCAACGTCTTCGGGTAACTCGTCGTCGGCTGAATTTTTAATTAGTCCGCGACAGCCCCCACCAGGCGAGGAGAGTGGAGGCGGCGAAGGTGGTGGAGAAGGAGTCGGAGAGAAGCAGGAGGTAGAGGTGGAGGAGGAGATGGAGGAAGAGGAGAAGGAGGAGGTGGAGAAGGTGACGGCGCGGCGGACGGCGCGCGGAGGGGGTGGGCTAGAAAGGGCGGCATTGTCATGCGCGCGTTTTTCACAGACTTTTCCACCCCCGCGACTGCTACCCCCCCGTCGGCAACACCCGCCCCCGCGACGCCCGCGAGGCACCCCCTCGCCTTCACGGAACGGCGGCGACGCCGGCGACGGCGGCGGTGGCGGCGGCGGTGGCGGCGACGGCGGCTCCGTTTTCTTAATTACAACTGCGATATTCTTTAGTTCGCGCGATGACGCCGCCGCGAAAAGATACCGGAATATTTCTCCGGCACCGATTATCCCTTTACTAAAGCCCCGATTACTAGCTCCTGCCGGTTGACCTTCATCGCGGAGTAGCGTAGCGATCGATAGATCAATGGACTATGTCGATTCGCGAGTGACGACGAACAGTACGTATATCGCGCCATAGTTTCTAAGACGGTGAGGACCGATAACAGCGCGCGACGATCGATCGTCGCGATTAGAAGGGCAAGGATGACAACATCGCCACGATGGACAAGATCGCGAATTCGCGAGTTTGCGTATCTGCCGCCCTGAAGCGAAATTAATGAGGGACAGTGTCAGTGTCGAGAAAGATCCCCTTAAATTCCACAATCAATGGCCATTTTTATCTCGGGTGAGATCGATTTCTGATCGATTTCTCTTTAATTTGAATCGATCTTTAGAACAATGACGCGGGAAAGGACCGCTGTTCTTCCCCGCGATAACTAAGAAAGTCCTGTTTACTTCTCGGCCAACTACCTGACGGCTGACGACAAAGTGACGGCCTCGTGAACGTAGATGCGACGATGATGATGGATGTGCTTCGTTTCACCTCATCGTTCTATCGCAGCTTACTTGATACCGATGAATCGATGATGGCACGAATAGTATCGTCCATCGTTCTCGTTAAGGTGAGTTACGCCGTCGGCGTTAAGTGAGATCTCGTTTCTTTTTTTCTTCCGCGACGATCAAATTGCGGTCGGATCGATCAACTGACAGAAAAAGTTTCCATATAATGCATGAAAATTCGATCATAATAATTGAAAGGAATGCGGCAGACTTAACGATGAGCCATCGGCATTCTTGTCTCAAGCTTTCAAGTCTTTAAATTTGTATTTGCAAACACAGGATTAGCCTCTTCCACGAAACGATGCGTGTACCGCGTGCCTACACCTCGATACCCTGCCGGTTACCCGCCCTGCCCGCTGTCCCATGTTCCCTCCTACGTGCGTACGTATAGACAGGCGGCGGCAAATAGATCGCGCATTTATTCGCGCACGTCGAACAGCATGTATCATATCCTATCATACGATCACTTTCCTGTAACGACGCGCCGTGCAAAAGAGACGCGCGTATGTATGTGTGTATGTGTGTGTGTGTACGAGTTATCTGGTCACCCGACACTGGTGAATACGTTCTCGCGGAGTTGACGGCGACTGTCGCGAGAAATGTCATTCAGCGTTTCGAAAAACGGAAGACGAAGGTCTAGTGGAAGTTACCAGAATAAAACTAATGAGATATTTGAAACTAAAAATCATTAATGTATCATGAAAAATTGATTTTGTTTACTATTTAAATGTAGAATCATTGATGTGCAGATTCCTTCAATATACTAAATTTAATAGACTTCAATTGGGCGATATGAAAAAAATACTCGCTTATGCATCGCTGATAAAAACTTTCATGAATGCTTTATACATTATTTGCTCTACGCCGATAATGTACGAGATTGTCATTACGTATTTTGCAATCATTTCTTAAACAGCAGTATCGAGATACGAGATACGTATTCTTTCGAATACGAAATTACTGTCGACGTCAGGGCCATCATTTTACCGTCTTTTGTAAATCCTGAATAACAAGACGTCATTGCAATCTTAATCGCTGTAAATCACCCGCTTGCATTTTGTTTATATCCACGTGTGATAACCACATAATGTTCTAGTCAAGAGACATTGTAGGTATCGCAATAACGCAACGAGCTTTCAAGTGAGTGTTAGAAGCCGAATGACCAATTAACTGACCTGCAGCCCGCATAGTCATTCATCGTTATTCTTAAACTGGCCTTCGTCCATCTGCGTTTGCGGTTTATCACGGTCGTTGCGCAATCATTTAAACCAGCACGTAAACATTTATTTGTCAGAATTATTATAAATTCTATTTCTTAATATACTAGAACAAAATAGAGCGCGCGCTTCGCGCGCGCGCACAAATAAAATACATATCATATTAAATATCTCATTACTTTTATATATCTCTTGCATATATCTCATATCCTATCTAAAAACAGGCATGTTAAATCGATAACTTTTATTTCTCGTCTTACTTTTTTCTTGTAGGTATCAGTAAAATATTATAATAATGCTAACAATATCTTTTGTAATCAACAGATATGTCAAAACATGTTTTTTACAATAATTAAAAGAAAAAGAAATTAAAGGAATAAAATAGCGATAGAAGGAAAAAAACAAGTGTAAAAGTTTTGAAACGAAGAGAATTAAATTCATTGGTCTTTTATAAAATATTACATAAGTACATGTCCCTTTACCTTCGTGTTACATACATAATTATCAGATACTGTGTCTAATTATTTGCTGTGATA